GGAAAGAGTTAACATCTTCTGTAAAATGCCCAAGATTAGAGCAGAACAAAATTAATGTGGGCTACCATGCTGCCTCCATAAGCTGAAAAGTATTCACAGGCATGGTCCTGAAATGTAATCTAAATTAATAAGTAACTGGAGTAGTGATGGCCCGAAGTAACCTGATGCCAATGTTATGAATGGGTCTGGCCATGCTTATTTGATTATGCCCCCACTTTTAACCCTTTTTTTATCTCCTAGTTTGCCTGCTCCATCTGCTTTGGCCATTCCCATGTGAAAGCAGCAAGGATGAAGGGCAGCCTGAGAGGAAATGCTTCCAACTGCAGGCAGCTGTAGGGTTGCAAGATGGGGTCAGTTTCCAAGTGTCCATCAACTGCCTCTCTTGGATCATCTACAGAAAGCACGAACACTTTCTACCAGCTCTTAAGGTGTTGACAGATGGGCTCTGGCCAGCCTTGCTGCAGCACGTTAAGGAGATATTACTCCTTAATACTGGCTTCATGCCCCAGCGGGAGCTTTTGCCTGCATCCCGGTTGCTTGCGAAGCGCCTGAGGCTGCACCACAGACTGGGTTGCAGTTAAAGCGAAGGCACTGGGCTGTGAGCTCTGCAATTGTGGCACAGGCACATCTTCCTCTGCATTCATGCTGCTGCAGGGCATTAGTCACTGGCAGTCAAGCGGTGTTAGCTTAGGGTGGTGAATTCCTCCAGGGCAAGTAGAGCCCTCCAGACCTTGTACATCAGCCCCCAAAGAGCTTGTGACTGCTTCCTGCAGGGGATCTTAGCTCTCTACTCAATGGACTTATGAGACCGCATCTGGTCCTGTGACCTTTATCAGCACAAGCAGTTTGCTGAAGTCAACCAGGACTTCCCAGGTAGGAAGGGACTGCTTGTGTGGAGTAAAGGACAAGAACTTGGGCAGCAGAGATTTGTGCTTTCTTTGTTGAGAGGTATTTTCCACAACTTATTCTTGTTGGCGTTAAAACTATAGACTAATTGAAAGAAAGTGCAATGAGAGCTGAATCAATGACCTATTTGCCCTATCTTTGTCAAAGGCGAGAAACACATCAAATATTACACAACAATTGGAAGATCTCCCACTGTCTGCAGCCAGCTTCCTGTTGTGTTATACATCACAATTTGTTGTTAAATTCAGATTTTCAGGCCTGGTAAACAAAGAAGGATTGCTGAATGACCCAAGTGTACGCTGCTGCTAACCTCCACACACATCTGCAGCAGGGCTGTGATTTCCCCAAACGTTAAATTGATCTCTAAACTGGCCTCCTGTGTACTCCAAGACAGGTGAGTGGGAAAGTTATGACACTAGTTTCTGGGCTGTCCTGCACGTCCTGGGCTGACCACAGTGGTTCCTCTTCACAAGGTCTGCCACCACACTGCCACTTCTCTGCAGCAGTGCCAGAGCTTAGTTGATGAAGGGAGTCTACATGAAGCAGATGAGATGACCTTGTGTGCTGTATATAAGAATATGCTGGGAGAAGAAATGCACGTAAGGTCAGGCCTGCTCTATGAAGAAAGTGTATCAGCCTGGGGCTTTTTTGTGCTAATGAAGTCAAAAGCGTTTGAGAAGTGATTAACAGCACACAGGACAGCCTTCCTATGCCATTTAGGTAGCTGTACGTTCCCACCAAAGTCAATATGAAGCCTGGCTGAATGCATCATAACCACAATTTCAAACAGCAGACATGGATGCTGAGCACCCTCCTAGCCCCAAGCCAACCGGGTACCAAGCTGACATGAGGACCCCTTCTCTGAAGGGGAAATGTCCTGTGACATTGCAATCTGGAGCTGAAACAGCTGGACCTTCCTGAGGCCTTTATACAATGGGCTTTGCAAGAGGTGACTATGGAAGGAATCTCTTCTTCTGACTCCACACCACAGCCACACAAGGGGCATGCTGTAACAATGCAAGCAGCGAAGTGTACAGGTTATAAAACGTCCATTGCCTACCGCTTCTCGGAGACACAGTTTCTTTAGCTCTTCCAAGCGTTGGCGCAGTGTCTCTTCCAAAGCTTCTTGCCTGGATTTCAGTGCAGCCAGCATGTCTTTCTTGGCAGACTGAGAACTATCTGACTCTTGGGAACCTATCAATAAACAATGATTTCACTAAGTCAGCTGACAGCAGAATACACATCTGGAGCACTTGTAACTTTACCACAGCCTGGATGCAGTCCTTCCAAAAAGAAATCAGACTACGACATGAAGCAGGTGTTACCGAGTCATGTTTGTTTACGGCAAATTCTTAATGTTTAAGCTAACAGACAGAGATTGGACAGTGGGGCACACAAAGACATTTGTAATCATTATGCAGAAAAATAAAAGCAACAAAATTATTCACGTAAAGATCCTAGAAAAAAAAAAGAGACATACCATTCCCACAAAAGTTCCCAATGGCAAATAACAGTACAGTTTACAAAGCCCTGGGGATGCATTTTTGGGAAATTAAGTCTAGGAGAAATCATTTGACAATACAGACTACTTCTTAAGAACTGCAATTACCCTAGTAACAAACATTTAATTCAATCCACTTACAGTGCCTGTTTTCTGAAAAAATGTAATGGAACAAAATTACCTAGCAAGATTCCCGTAAAACACAGAAAAACAACAACAACCCATAGGTCCTTCTGGGATAGTAGCTGTTTCTTGTGAAGATGTAGGTTAAGATATTTAAACTGGATGTCCAAATGGCTTGACTTTTCAAGTGGCAATTACTCAGCAACTTCCACTGAAGTAAGTCAATGCATTAAGTCAGATTTTGTTGCTCGGATGTCATGACAGCATTTCTAACTTCAGCTCTTTAGGGGAATTTATTGATGGGTTTCCTGATTTTATTTTGGTTTGGGATGGTGCATCGATTACTATCCAAGATCTACCATCTCAAAGAAGGGGCAATGTTGGTTGCATCCATTTTGGGATCCCCAACTTCAGCAGCTGATTTTTCAGGATGTGCTTAGCATTCACCCTCTTTAATGCACCTCTAGGCCCAGGGATCAGTTTATACTGAAGTCACTACTTTGCTCTGATCCCCTTGTTTGCATAAGCTGAGTGCATCCTTTCATCACAGAGTATGAAGGTTATGGCCATACTGTGAGATGAAAAGCAAGCTCAAGAAGGTGCAAATGCCATCTCCACATGCTTTTCATTCATATCACTGGCTGCTGTTCAGACACAGCTGTGGTTCAAAGCATCCACCTCAGGTTTACAGAAAGCTGAGTTCTGGTATCTGTGGTGGATTCAGAGGTAGTGTCCCATGTCTGTCCACAGACGACACCGAGAGAGCCGCAGCTCCACACACGCTAAGGCTCTGCCCCACACACAGCTCTGGAGCTCAGCCTAAGTCTGCATCTGATCCCTTTTTAATAAACTCCATGGCGGGTCTTAAGCCAGGCTGAACAGACAGGGCTGTTGTAGCTAAGGGGTTGCTGTTGCCTCAACAGAAGTGTCTAGGTGACCTAAGGTAGCTGAGATGTCTTCCATGGGGTGGCAGATATGACACATGACCCTGTGAGACCCACACTCTTTTGGACTGGCAGTGGGATGCTTTAACCCACCTAAAATGGAACCAGACACAATTCACCAGCTGGACTGTGCCCAGTGCTCTGCAGGGACTTCTTGTGGGGCATTTAGTTCACTGTAGGCTTATGCTTGGAGAGAAGCCTTTGACTCATCAATGCTTTCAAGAGGGCTCCTCCTACTTCACGGTGGTTCCTCAGTCATCTCAGCACCCACTGTCCCAGAGTGACTATGGGGGCTCTCCTGCCCCTCTAGAGTAATGGCACCGAGAAAGCAGACCTTTATTATCTGCAGGAGTCAGGTACAACAGATGCTACATGGAGTTTTCCGTGCATTGTAGGATGGGGGTGAGGGTAGACTTCTAGATACGTTTGCAGCTTGGCCTCTAAGTGTGCAGTGAAGACACTCAGCCCAAGGAGGTCAAAAATGTTGCTGCCATTTCACAGAGCTCTGGAAGGAACCTGGAAAAAAATCTTGGCTTTGGCAGCAAAACAGGGTGAAATTTGTGCTTTCAGCTTCATCTTTCATTGCTACTACTCCAGCAGACTGTTAAAGCTAAACTGAAAGAGGATCGAGGAAACCCATGCCATGAAACAGTTCTGCATTGGCCCAGGGGGAGCAGAGAATCTCACAGATCTCTTCCACCACTATTTTCTGCACTTTTCTTACAGGAAGACAGCTGGCTCTTATTCTGCAAAATGCCACCCGGCTTTGTTACACCTTTTACTGGGCTCTCCTGGAATGGGGGAGGTGGAAAGAAGGCTCTCTAAAGGTCAGCCAGGTTGAACGTCATCAGACAAAGAAGGACAACCTCATGGTAAGATGTTTGTTTAGTTGCTGTAGTCATCCTCGTTTCATTTGGGTTTGCCCTCATAGAGCAACAAAACTCAATCCTGCAAACACATCTGTGCTGCAGGAACTTGACAGGATCTTCTAGAGGAGCCTTGTGTTTGCGCTGGCAGGGAAAGCCCTCTCTAGCATTTAGTAATTCTTAATAGTAACCCTGGTGAACACTTAGTAGCAAAAGCTGAACTGCTGAGTTTCTTCACTGAATTGCCAACAAACTGCTGAGTACCAGTAAAAAGTGGCTCATGATTTCAGCAGATGTTTCAACCCTTTTTTTTTTTTTAATTTATTCTAGGACAACTTTAATGACCTATGTTTTCCTTTCAACTGCTCATCCCCTTTCCTTCCTCCCTCTGCTCCCTACCTCCACACCAGCCTCGGATTTATTTTTAAAAGCTATTCGTTTTTGCACCGCAGGTTGCCACAGCAGCTACAGAGATGCTGAAACATTTAAAAGCATATGAATAGCCTAAACTCTGGCCAGACGTGTGCACTGATTTGGGGTGTGCCGACAAGAAGGAAACAAATGGCTTCTGGCTGAGCTAGTACGGATCCAAACCAAGCACAGACAGTTCACAGCATCTACTCCAGCTATGCTTACCCTGTGTGAGAACCACATTGGTCTCAACCCTGACATGGTCGGTGGCAGTGACCACTGAGTACACATTTTGCCATCTTTTTCACCCCTCCGAGAAAGCAAAGGAATTGGGGGAGATCTGGAACCGCATTGTCACATTCTGAGTCAAGCAATGGGATTAGTGCTGAAACTAAAGTCAACTGCTCCTTGGCATGAGTGAACCAGTTCAAATTAACCTTTTCCAAGTGTGTCTTTGTAGCACAAACTCTCCTAGTGTAGTGAGGGTTCAAAGGCCAGGGGGCAGGGCAGTCAGTTGATGGTTTATGATCCTGAATTTTTTTAGCTTGACCATACCTGGCTTGGATGATCCGTTGGGCATACTGCAGGACTTACTTATTTCTTCAGACCTTCCTGAAGTTTCTCCTTCAGAAACAGTTTTGTTCTAGCTGTATTTTTAAATTTTATTTAAAAGCTGAACTATTTTGGGGTGTATTATTAGATTTTTATGGGTTGGATTCTTTGCTTGTTCTCACAGGTGAAAAGTAAATGGAAACTTGATCGGTCAGGAGAATCACACCCGTGTGAGAAGCTTGTAAAGGAGCAGAGAACAGTGCTTTGTATTGCTGGGGTGCCTACAGCTTCCATTAGAGGCTCTTTATTTATAAATATGTATTAATCCAGCCTCGAGCAAGGCTGTGACCACAGACCTGCTTCTAAACCCAATGGCAATTGACCCAAAAATGTCAGAACAAATCAAAAGACCATAAAAACAACCAAAGAAATAATCAAAGACCAGCACAAACCGAACCAATCAAGCAAATACTACCTTAAATCAGCCTTATTAAATATGATGCTCACTGAGTCATGGCTGCCCAGTGCCTTCCAAAGGGGATCATCAACAGAGAAAAATCGGTCCTGAAAGACCAGTCCTAACACGAGAGACTCCTGCTACAAAAGAAATGGTTGACTGGGAGGCTTTCTCAGGTATTTTATCTCCTGCAATTAGGGCTAATTCCTAATGCAGTAAACAGGAGAATTGTTGCTGAAATATGTAATTTCCCTGTATGGCTTTTGAACCTTTCTGTGAAAATTATTATTCAGCCTCCTTCCCATTTGCCATGCAAAATTTACCAAATTCTGCATTTTAACACATGGTTCTGCAGAACCATTTGATGTCCCTAAAAGAAAAAAAAGGGTTGTGAAAACACACTGGGTAGCAAGTACAGGGCCTTCTCTTTGGTGGGCATCAGGAACCTGCTGAATCGCAGGCTGTTTTTATAGCTGATGCTGCTGGCTTAATTTCAAAGCCAAGGAAATTGTACATGCCCTCTCCCCTTAGCATACACGGATGGGACACAGGTTTGGGTGACCTGAACATCCACTTAATACCCTATTATTTTGTGGACACGCTACTCATCTTCTGATACCCACTTGGCTTCTCTGGACGACTTCTCCATCCACTGACATTCAGGAGAATGTGAGCTGTGAAACAGGGAGAGAAAATGGCCCTCCCTGCTCAACTCACTCCTCCAGCAGAATTCATGGCTGAGCTTCTTCATCAGTGCTAACGGGCTGGTTTCTGATCGCTCCAATACTGGTGATGTCAGGACAGTCTTGGTGATGTTGATGGGGACATGAAGCAAGTAAGTCCCACCCCCAAAGGATCTGACCAAGGTGATGCACTGTGCCTGTGCAGATCTGCAGGGACTCCTGGCTACCAATTGTTGGCTCTAAGACAAGCTTTGTTTTAAATCTTGTAAAAGAGATGAGACCAGCAATGTGAAACACCATTTTCAACAGGAAAGCCCTACCGGCGACTCAGTGTTTGTCCCCATTTCCTCCCCTATTTTAGCGAAGTGGAGTCAGCTTGGAAGAGGGATAAATGAGGATGATGAAAATAAGCAGGGAGGATAGATGGGATGCTGAAGAACAGAAGGAGCCCAGGCTTGGTGCTAGCATCTGTGAGGGGAAAGGAGATGCAACAAGGCAGCTGAGCAGTTAGGCAAGAGCATCCCAACATCTTTTCTCTTTCTCATTTTGTGAGGCTCCTGCTCCAGGAAAAAAACATCTAAATATGGCAAATCCTTCATGCTGCATCCGGCTGCTGGCTCCAGCTCGCTGGCGTTTGGTTGAGGTCCCCGTGGAAGGCTGTTCTCTGAGCAGGGAGGGAAGGTCCCCCCACGCTTGCTCCATGCCAGAGCCTGGGCTGACTCACCACACCAGGATGTCAGTGCACAACAGCCAGCAACCTCAGACAGCCGCTATCTCTTGCCTCTGCCAGACAAATAGGATATCCTCCGTGGCGTGCGGGAGCCCAGCTGGAGCTGCTCCACACAGGATGTGCTCAGATATCCTGTGGGTGACTTGTCTTCACGAGCCCCTGTGCTTGTGGGCCATGCCGGAGCTGTGCGGGTGCTGTTTATCCACTCCGACACCCACCAGGGCGGTCCAGCTGGGATACAGCCCTGCTGGATGGAGCGGTGGGGGCCAGGGAACCAGCTGGCTGGGCTCTGTCATGGCATTTTCAAACGTAAACAGGCCCCTGCACAGGAAACCTCCACCAGTGATGAAGGAACAGGGCTCAGGGCGCTGGAGGCTCCTTGAACACGTCTATAAAGCTAAAGCAGAGGTATTTCTCTGTGGTCTCTCCTCTGCCCACTGAGATGAAGAAGGCGGTCTGGGGTTCAGTCCAACAATAACCCAGCAATAACAGAGCTCCTCACTAGCTAGGAGCGCTGCAGAGCTCTTATGGCACAGACTGCTCCAAAGGAAAAATCCACGTTAGATCTAGATTTTGTTCTAAGAATTATCTCTGCTGGCTTTGATTAGGGTTCATGCCAGTATGAAAGCAGAGCTTTTATTCATGGTCAAGTCTTGCCCGAGATGTCCAGGGATGGCTCAGAGATCCTGAGTAGAAGATCCCTGAACTAAATCGCAGCAGCCCACTGTTCTGGGGGACCCCTTTGGAGCCAAAATGAGAACAAAAGTTAAAGAGCGAGCTTGTCAGAAGTGGACTTGGGAGTGTCAGGTATCAAACTTACAACTCTGCAGTGGACACAGACTGAGATCAAGGGCCTGGGAAACACAGAGGAGCTTCAGCTTTGGCCTAATTGCTGTGACCATGGGGAAGTCACTGTCCCAGTATAAGACTCCATCTCCCCTCTGCTGTGTCTTCAGACTGTACGTGATGTGGGGCAGCGACTGCCTCGCACTGGACAGCAGGATCTTCGCCAGACAGTGTGACAGCTGGAAGCAACAACAAGTATTTCCTTGCAGTCTTGCTGCAAACTCAGGGGAGACATGCCAGCTTCAGCACAGTCCTCATGGCATTGACAGTCCCTTTGGTGAGGAGGAGTGAGACGGAGAGAGGAAATGGCCACAAGTAATTTTCAGGAAAAAAGAACTGAGAACAGTAGGGAAGTGGGAACAAACAGAGATTCAGTCCTGCCCTTGTGATTTCGAGTCATTCGGGGTATTTATAGCCTGGAAATCTACTGTGGCCACTTAATCATTTGCACTTATTCTCTCCGGCGTGCAGGCTGCACAGCGATAACCCATCATTGTTGTGATTGTGTGCCTATAATCTTTGGCACAATGGGAGGAAATGCAAAGGTTGGGACGGAGCTGGTGACTGTGCCCAGTGGGACAGGCAGCGAATGCCCCCTCCAGTCCAGTGGGACAGGGCTGGGTCACATCTGCCAGCCAGGCTTGAGGGAAGGGTCTCTTGGAGCAGAGGGGTTTGGGTGACCATGTGGAAGCAATCCAGGGTCTCAAATTCACTGGTATCTGTCCTCCTCTGCCAGACATCTTCTCTCTATACTTCCTTGTAGCTGCTAGAAGGCACACAGCAGCAGCAAACCCCAGAGCTCTCCTTAACATTTTAGGGAGAGCCCTGTCCTCACAGCTGGTAGGACCTAAAAGTCAGCTCTGAACACAGGAACCTGGAGGGAGTCATGTGTGTCTGGCCCGATAGCAGCACCTCAACCAAAACAGAGGTTGATGCAGTCCTACATAGGTGTCCAGGTAGACAGATCAGCCTACTCAGGACTGAAGAAATGACTCACCTGGTCAATGAACGCTGCATGGGTCTAGTCACTAGTGCAATTCTGCTGAGTCTGCAAATCCCATGCTCAGCCAGAAGGGAATTGAGCAAGGAGCAAAAAAATACAGAAATAAAAGTGTGGGCAGCTCCCAGTTTGGGATTTCCATCCATATAACCCTGATAGGTGCTGGCCCTAGAGAAGCTTTTCTGAGCCTGATTTTCTGCCAGCTTTCACCTGGCTACTGCTCTTTCCCGGTGTAAGAGCAGAAGCAGACCCCCATGTTTTCTTCCAGGAAGACGAAAAGTCAATGTATTAACATGAAAACAGGATTACTACCAAGTAGCTCTCACAAACTTGGGAATGGTGCCCAGGAGGCTGAGATCTTGGAAAGACCGTAAGAACTTTCTTGGGGTACTTAACATTATTTACTTTCCAGCAGGAGAGCTGGAAAAAATGCCAAACAAATAAAGAGCTCCAACAACCCGACACCAGTCTGGGAGCTGCTCAGCTACTGCAACTCCCTAAGCGATGGGAGGCACAGACGGCGGATTGTATACAGGAAGACCTAAGGAGCAGAAAGGCATCTCTGTTTGCAGGCAAGGCAAGGAATTGCACAGCAGGCTGTTCTGGAGCTCTGTAAGCATTGCACATTTTAACCCCTTGCTGGACCTTTTCCAAGCAGGAAAGTGTGGCTTTTAAAAGACACCAAAGATACAGTGATGCAAAGCTGATGTACTATACCACTGTGGATTCAGTTTTAAAGCATTTGTGTTCTTAGATGGACTCTTCCTTTGTCAAGCATGAGAAGGTTATTCTCTGGTGTTACACATCTCAACACAGTCAGTTTTGATAACTTGATGTGATGCTTAACAAAGGGCATTTAATTGACTGGAACTGTTAATTATAGTGATAACAGCAACCTTGCCCTCCTGAAGAGCTTCCCACCCGAGCAGCTTCAAGCTCTTTGCAAACTATGAATCTTTGCTTTGCTCCTGGAGTGACATTTAGCAGTGTTTTACACACAGCTTGCCCTGTTCAGACTGACAGAAGAGTATCAAAGAAATACAGACAACCTCCTGAGCCTCCCTCTCCGGTCCTTCTCTTCTCGTGCTCTAGCTCTCCTCTGTATCAACTTCTCTTGAGTTTCTTTCACAGATTATGTCTTCCTCATACAGGAAGATGCTCTAAGCCACAAAAAGAAGCCTCTAGGTCCCCGGCACTAGTTTGGTGGAGTACTACGGAATAGCTCTTTTGAGCCTGGGACACTAGCCAAGTTCCAGTAACAGAGAGGCAAGGCAGATGTGCACTCTGTGAAGAAGCCATCCTGCCTCAACACTGCTGACTCAGTGTCCCTAGTGAGCTGCACTGGCTGACCACTTCCTTACTGCTTGTTGGGGGCTCCTTCACAAACGCATCTGCCTAGGGTTGAGCTGGGTGCCAAGGGGTGATTATGGTAGAAACTGTGAAGAGAGACTAGGTCTCAGCTGGAAAGTGAGAGGCTGGAGACCTGGGGCCAAAGAGGAAATGAGCAGTGGTAATGAGAGGGGGGAGCTGCTGCCTGTGCTGTTTGTGGGGCAACGTGCTGAGAGATGGACTGACACCGGGACAGAGAGAAAGGCTAAAGGGAAGTGACTTTCATTTCTGCAGTGCAGCTTCTGGCTGCTCCCCGTTATACCACAACCACAGCCCTTCCCACCATATGGTCTCCAGTTACAGGATAAAGAACCTACCTGATGACAGAAGACTCCCGCTGCTGCCGCTGATAATTTTGCCTTTACTCCCCATGTTGGCCAGCTTTGAGGTCTTGAGTGTTCCAGTTTCAGTCAGGTCAATCGCAATCTCACTCAGGCTTCTTGCAGCATGAATCTTGGACTGGACATGGAAACAGAAGTTAGTAATGATCTAGCACTTCTTTAAAGCTCAGAGAAGGAAAAAGTCCTTTTGCTGTGGCAGGAAACAGGCCTCCACAGCAAACTTGGAATATTTTACAAGAATAGAAGCAATCTGGCACGGTATTCACTGCCGCGTTTTTTACATTCTTAAGTGGGTGCAATTCTGGCATTGCTTCCTGTTTGTTATTTTCTCTGCTTTGCCATGGACATTTTTCACTCTTAAACAAAGTATGTATGGAATCACTGAATTACCACATATGATAAGAAACTTTCAGAAATGCCAACATAATAAACTGCGAAGTCCAAAGGCTGAAGACCATCTCTAGCATCTAAAGGAAGCCAGGAGGGGTCTTTCTGAATCTGCAATGAGCTTTGGACCAAGACACAGCAAGGACGTGGCTTAAATGGGCTGCCATGAGAAGCTGGAAGAAAATACCAGCAGAAAAGCATGTTCAGGTTATGGTCCAGACTAATAAGCCGCATGCAAGGCCCCTACTGCAAGGGACCTCTTCAAAGCATTAACATTACTGCAGTAAGAAACAACAGCCAGCCCCAGCTCAGTAACTGGCCACACTAGGAGAAAGGGTCACCCATTTTACACCACCAAATGTCAGCAATCTAGGCACCTCCAGGGGAAAGTAAACATGCATACTGCATGAGAGAAGAGAGGAGAGGGGAGGAGAGGAGAGGAGAAGGGAGGAGAGGAGAGATTTCAGTTGAAGGTATCTCCAACAATCATCTAGTCCTCCTCCTGTCTTAGGATGGAATGAGTTGACTACCTAAGATGTCATCCTTTCTCCATTGGTAATGGAAGGATTTGAGACAACAAGATGCCCAGAAAGTTCAAGTGAGACAATGCCAGAACTGTCTCTTTGTTGAGCAGTGAGCTCAGTTGTGGTTATGCCCACAGCATGACCAAAGGCAGAAAATGTTCGGGGCAAGGGGGTTAGAGGCACTGAGCAATGAAATTAGTATGGCAGTTGCTTGCAGGGTTGGGCTCAATCAGTCCTAGTGGCTGCTTTGCCTCTGCAATACAAACCCCACTGTTCGTAGCTCACCATCTATCTCTCGTCCATTCTCCTGGCAGCCCCTAGCAGGCAGTTAGCATTAACAAGAGGATCCAGAACACTGATCAAAGTCCCTGGGGATGGCCCTTCAGTTCTATCCCTAGCACTACCAGGAAGAAGAGCCCTACATATAAGGGTATCTTGGATGGCCACAAGAATTTTTCAGTCCCTTTTCTGACCAGTACAGCCTTAGGATCACCTTAAAATGGCAACTGCCACATCAGAAAAACCCCGAAGCCTCTCTAGTACTTCATCTCATTTCTGACTGGGGTCATCTCCAAGCACGTCAGAAAAAAATATAAGGAAGCTTTTCATTAAGCCATTGTGGAATAATCTGTTCACATGGAAAATTTCCTCCTGCCTCTTCTGAACTGATGCTCATGCTCTGAGCTCTGTTTTATGTATTGGTTGTCGAACTTGCTTCAGGTAACAAGCCATGCTAACAAAGAGGAAACACAATCAGGAAGAAGCTCACTGTCTGTAACATGGCATACAAAGATGACTGGTATTTCATCTCCAACCTGGAAATTGGCTTCTTGCTCGCTGACCCTCACGTGAGCTTCTTGGTCACAGATGGAGGGAACTTGGAGCTCAGACAAATGCCCAAATCTGGCAAGCCCTGTGCTGCTGAGCTTCAATTAGCCTGGCCTTGGAGGGCCACTGACCTGCAATGGCTGTTTCCCAGAACCCAGAAAGTTGTTGGGACATTGTGCTGAGGCTTTCCAGCCACACAAAGACTTTTGTTCATTACAGTGTGAACAAATCAGAAGCTGATTGACGTCCACGTACCAGGATGTGATCTCTTCACACTGGAACTAACACGAGATGGGACTACAAGGAACGCTTGCCATGATGGGGTTTTCAGTGTTATTTCACATCCTCAGGAAGCAGAAATAATTTTAACAAGAACTAAGGCTGAATTGATGGCTGAATGCTCACCACACTGAGCTTCACTCTTACCTCTGTTACTGATTTGCTATGGGGCTTTGGGTAAGACACTTAAGGTTAAGTTCTTAGCGATCCCCTGCCTCTGCACATCAGTGAAATAATAAGGGAAGTAAAATGTCTCCCAGTTGCACACTGTATTTTTAAAATTAATTTAAGACCGCAAATGAAGACAGCACTTGGAGAGCCTTATACTGAAAACACCCTCAGAAGTATTATCATAATTTAATATTCTTGGGTATTTATAGGCTCCATTGTTACCTTTCAGACGTACCCAAATGCCTCACAAGCTTATTTCCATAACAACCCCAAGAACAGGGTGTGTACACTCACTCACTTGAAGGCAGAGGCTGACCCCCCTGCCAAGATGTCAGAGCATATCAGGCAACCAGTGCTGACCCTCTTAAACTAATGATACAACCAGTTAGACACTTCTCATTTCCAGCAGCTCCTCCTCAAAATCAGCCCCAGGAGAAGGACAGCACTCTTTTAGCTTCTTAGATCTGACATTTCTGGTCAGAAATAAGGTCTGTGAAACACGTTCTCCAAATAGCTCTGGAAGGTTAGTTCTAGGTGAAGAGGAAAGTCACTGCTTTTATCTAATGAGATTTCCTGTAACTGAAGTCTTGATAAGGAGCCTCAGTATGAACCACTGTCTTGTTGCAATGCCAGATCTTTGGAGGTAACAAGTCTTCAGACTGCTGCTGTCCTGGTGATTTATCGCCTGCAGGTGTATATATGCTGTATGACCCTAAATGTAGGGTTACGTGCACCTTGTGTAACCCCAGAACAGCCATACTGATCAAACTCAGTAACTGCCTAACCCAATATACTGAGTCCTTGCAGAGGATGTCTAGGAAAGGTACAAACCCCAAGTCTGCACAGACAGATCCTGCCCTCCTGCTCTGCGAGGTAGTGGTTTTCCTGTATGTGTAGGATAGTTACAGCGAGAAGCCCTGTAGTTTATTTCCACTCATATTCAGACTGCAAATTACAGCATGCTCTGGTCCTACCTGTTTGACTAGGCACTAACTAAAATGCTGAGTGAAGGCAACGCAACTGGAGGCTGCGGTCCTGGCCAGCATGCCAAGCCAGCAGCAGCTGGAAGTGTGCCCTACATAGGACAAATGAAAAAACAGCGTATGACCAAAGCCTGGCATCCCTGGAGCCAGAAGAGAGGGAAAACAAACCAGAAGAGTGGACAGAGGATCAGCACAGCAGAGTGATCTTCCCCCACAGAGGGTGCAATCCAAACCTGCTGAAGCCGTTAGTGAAGATTTTAGATCCGACCACAGTTGTGCTAATGGTATCCTGCACTAAACAGTTGGGATGGAGCATCTCCTAAAAGGAATGGGGTTAATTTTCCATGCTGCTCAATCCCTGCTGCCTCTGCTGCCTACAGCAATGCCAATCAGCGTCGGGTGGTCTTGTGCTTTGGACAGCCACTCACCAGCGGCAGGAATCAGACCAACAGCTCATTTCATACAGGCCACTGAGCAGCAGCTAGTGTGAGGCCTGGGCTAGACTTTGTACTGACAGCACAATAGTGGAAAGCTAGATTACATCCCATTAGCGCTCCCTCGGGCCCTGCAGTCCCTCAGGCTCAAAAATTTTAAAGCACTTAGCGCAGACCTGCCAAGTCTCATTTACATGGAGGGAGACTGGCTCATTCATGAGTCATTTCAGAGCACAGGGGCAAACTGATCCCCAGTGCTGTTCTGACAGGGTCAGAGGGTGAAGAAAAATCCATCAACGAAAAGCAAAAGTAGATGGACACTAGGGATGAATTTATCCCTCTTGCTTGCAGTGATGGGGCTTTGCTGCAGGTGATTTTTTGAAACCCTTGGCCTATTTTCTACCAGTTCATTCAGCCAAAAAGCCTTGCACTTGGAGGAACGTGCTGTTGGAAATTCCCAGAAACAGGGACTTCTCAGGGCTTCTAGGCCAAGTGCTTGATTTACTCGGTGCAGTCAACAGCGCAAAGACATGCCTTGAAGTCCTCCTGCATATGTCTCCTGAAAAAAAAGGGAAGCTGACAGGAGTTCTGCACACTGACATGTTCACTCAGAAAACTGGGGATCTTTTCAGTCTCCGTGTTACGCTTCAATTGCAGGGAGAGAGAGACAGATCAGCAGGGAGCAAGACGCTGGGAACTCGGCAAGCTGGCAGGAGTTCAATGCGTCGTGAGGCTGCATGAAGGCATAGAAGGCTGAGACCTCACTTCCTTGCAAAAGGGTAAAAATCCAGGAAAAGCTGATTTTATTTCTTTTTAAAATCAAGTGAAAGGGCTTTTCCAGTGGAGCTGTGCTGAAGGTCCATCCAGATCCAACTGGTGCCCAGCTATGTGAGCAGCATGGAGTTCAAGCTTGCTTTATCACTATGTCATATCTCCTGCCATCTTATCTACATCACTGGAGTGAAGGCTCAGTTGCAGTGAGCTCCAGCAGGCTTCTTCTTCTGAGTTTGTTTTTATTTTTCTTTCTTTTGTCAAAAGGATATGAAATGCCAAGTTTGAACATGAAAGGAGGGAATATCTAAGTTTTGCTTTGAACTTGAGGATTCAACTGAACTGAGGACTGAGATTTAAGGGGATGTGAACCCATGCGACCTGAAACTCAAATAAATGTTTGTCTAAGTCCTTAAAAGCTGAAAGGACGACATTTCACATTGCCTCACTCTGGAGTACGTTTTATTGGTTTTCAAAAGGAAAACGCACGAGTATGGCATCCCGAAGTGACCAGCAGGATGAATTGAACAGATCAATTAAAATTGATGGATCTATCAATCTTGACAGCATCATGTCAAAGATGAGGACAACAGACTAAAATACCAGCTTGCTTAGGAGAAAGGGGCAAAAATATTTGTATGCCTTAACTTCAAAGCCTCAGCGTGACCACCGGGATTATTGTGACAAAGCACACTGACATGGTCACAGACGTGACAGGTTGACAAACGAGGGCTGGTGGGTGGTGCTGTCTGTAGGCCTGTGAGAAAGGGGAGATCAGACTGAAACACAATCTGCTATCAACAAAAGAAGTCACTGAAGGGAAGTCCTGGGCATTTAAGAGACCCAGTTTCTTACCAAAGAAATGGGAGGAGGAGGGAATCTCCTTTTGTTTGTTGGTTGCTTGTGACCTAAATACCTAGCAGCCAGATCAGCAAATCCATCTGGCTAAAAGTAAAAAAAAATAAACTTCTGTTTGTTTGCTGAGTTGTCTTTGTTGAGAGCAAAACAGAGAGGGCTACGCATCGCCCTTGTGTTGCTGAGCAGAGGAAGGGAGGCAGGAAAGCACTACCTGCTATCGGGTGAGCGTGCAATTTTGTCCATATTCACAGCTGGCACTTAGGCAGGGGTGGAAAGTTAGCTACAACCCTAAATTCAATACAACTTACAGCAACTAAGGTGAATCCTGTTTTTTTGCATTAGATGGGACACAGCCAAAGTGGGTGTAACCATGTGTTCTGCCCAAGGCATCCAAAAGTCCTACTCACTCTACAATAGTCACAGAGATCACAACGGGGAAAGCTATGTCAGAAGGGTTCAGAGTGAGCTGCACTAATAGCACAGTGATGGCTTTTCACGCAATTTCAGCAAGCCAATTCAATTCATTTAACTGGCAGAAAAATAATGCACCAAAGAAAAACAGGAAAAATAAATATTTTTCTGCCAATTTAGTGGGCTGAACTGGCTCATGAAGAGACCTGATAGAGCCAGGGCCTGTGCAAGGGTGGGAGCAGCCCCTGCCTGAAAATGTGGGCAGTGCTTTCAGCAATAGCAAGACGTTAAGATTGTTTCATCCATTTGGAGGAGTATCACCCTGCACATTCCTGCCATCTCACCAGAGATGGGGGGGGCAATGCAAGCAGCTGTATAAGAAGGTACCCGCTCAATACAGGCTCTATCTTCTCTAACGTTTTACACCAGCATGTTCGTTTTACACCAGCAAGTTCGTATGGAGAGAGGCATCTGCATGAGAAGTCTCTCTTCTGTTTCAAAGTGATCTCAGAGTGATCAAAGTGATCTCCTGCTGCTCTGGATATGCCTAAAATTACTGTTGATGAAAGGAGTTAGAGGGAGAACACACACTGCTCTGGTTTCAAGGTGGTTTCTTTTGTGTATTGGGCGGCCCTTTTTGCAGCACCAGATCAAGACGGTTTCCTTACAAGGCCAGGCTGTCAGCATCCTGCCCCACTCCTTCTGTTTTGAGATTCTGTGTGGAGAGAGAAATAATATCCCTACCCCTCATTTCTAGGAAAATATGATAGTAAAAAGCAAGGGACAGTAAGAAGGATTCAGAAACAGCTGCAGAGTGCAAAGCTACTTTGAACTCAGTTATTGGAAGCTGTTGTAACTTTATGACAGAGCTCAAGAATCAGAAGACATGTGGAAACCAACCAGACAGGGACACAATCCTATCTGCTTGCAAACTCTGGCTCCTGCAATTTGGCCACAGTTCAGTACAACCTTTCCCTCAATCCTCACTCCCATAGACGTGAATTAGATACAAATTCCCTCAATCTGGACAAAGTCAGCAGTATTTTGAGTCTATTTGCCTTTTTTTGATCTCAAGTGGAAAGGGAGGGCAGGAAAGGAGCCACCATCTGGACTTGACCTTGCTGGGACTGTAGGGAGTGAGAAGGACTCACCCACCGCAACACACACTCCCCGCCCCAACATGCTTACCTTGCTTTGCTTTCTGTCCAGGTAGAACTGATGTTGACTAATGGCCATAGCCCAGATAGACTTTATTAGTGCTGGACAGGCGTACCATGTATGCACAGCGATGCCACTATGCCCAAAAGTCCTCCTGGTCACAGATGCCCTGGAGAAGATAAAAGAAAGAACTGGGGTTACACCATGATTTCCTTGGATTGTTTTCTATGGTAGAACCTATCACAGACCTCACTGTAAAAGCTGCTGTCTTTACTGGGCACACCCCTGTGCTAATGGGTAAAAATACTTCAAGAACAGCAATAAATAGCTAATCAAGGCAGGAGAGCATTTACTTTAAATAACTCCTCAAGTTAGCAAGCTCCAGAGGACTAACAGTAAAGACCATCCGGTTTGTCCAGTTCAGACTGTATTCCTGGGTTTAGCTGAGCTGATGCTGACCTACTATGTGTCCCAGGGGAGTCACCATGTCAAAGCATGTGCAAATCCTCTGTGTCTCATCTGAGACACAGAGAGGCCAGTGCTCACACCCTTCACTACCTCTGGCTTTGGATAGTGGCTTTCAAGTATTAGTATCCACAGGATCAATGGCTGCTTTAGAGAATGTGGCAAAAACTCTTCAGGTACCTTGATTTCCCTGCTTGTAAACAGATGTAGCAGAACTTGCCACGTGGTATGGCAAAAAGGAGTTGTGGGGCTTGGAGAGGGCTGCCTAGTACCCTAGAGAGAAGAATGTTCCTCAGCGATTAGCTGAGTGAATATAAAAACAGGAAAAATAAGAACTAAATGTTTCCTCTCTGGGACTCCCAATTGTCCTCAAATATTAGCAAAAAACACAGGTCAGGTTTCCCCATGCTTTCACAGCTGTACAAAACTGCTTGATTATTCCTCCCCAACCCTCAACTCTAACCCCACCAGCAGATCCCCTGACACCGGCACACTAGCACACACAGGCTTGCAGCATCCTGGTCTGCAGAACTCCTCCCACTGCAGGGATGTAGCACTGGCTGGAGCAAACCAAGCCACTGATCTACAGAGCCCCAGATAAATGAGGTCCTCCTCTCCAGTCTGTTAAGAAGTCTTGGGGTGGAGTACGATGGTAAAATGAATGTAAGCACTGGTACGCAAGGCTAGCTCAGAAACATGACACTTTTGTTACAGCCTTTCATGTAGGGATGTGGATGATGAAGAGGTGCCAGTGCAAGAGACAGCCTGGGGAGCAGGGTGTGCTACGGAGCGGCTGCCACAGTCCATAGCCAGCAGGCACTCTGCGCAATGCAGATGTGGAGGTGACACTGTAGGACAGTCCAGGAGCTCTACTGTGCAGTGCAAGGGATGGTCAAGTCTTTTCCCAGCACTCTTAAGTCCTCAAGGCTGCCAAGGCCTGCACCTGCACTGGCCACCTCTCCTCTGGTGCCTGTGGGCTACTGGCCTGTCCCAAATTGGAGGTAAATGTGGGGAGGGGAGGCACACAGTCAAAGAAAGTTGTGATACAGTCAAGAATGGAAGAAAAGCCAAACTCTGCAGTGTAATGGGAACTGCTGGCCAGGGTCAGCCCGTGAGAGAGCTAACAGCTCTTGTGCCAGGGCCTTTTCAGTGCTGCAAAATGTGTTAAAGTCAAATTGAGAGGCTACAAATCAGAGTGAAATTTCTCTGAGAAAACAGCCACGGCCAACGCAAACAAGGTCTGAGAAAACTGGGATCTCATGTTTCAGTGTTACCCTGCACCAAGTGCTTTCCATGCAACTGGACCAGAAGACCTGGTCCCATTATGAGTATTATTCTTGTGAGAAAACTCTCCATGGATGCAACAGAACAGCGGCTGATGGTCCTAATGAGGATGGGTGCTGGGCTGCCTCATCTCTGTCCCTGGACAGGGAATGAAGGCGGTGCTGGGAGGTGTTCTTGAAGTTGAGGGTAGAGAGGGGATCCAACTCTGCACACTTTATGTTGGTTTATGGGACACAAACCACTGCAGTGCATTGGCATATAAGGCTCTAAGGCACTAAGGCACTCAAACATGGACTAAAGCCTTAATTCTGGTGTCATCCTATTCAGTTCAAATGCAGTTGTTTTGAACTCTCAGAAACACACTCAGCAAGCCATCCACCTTCTCATCTTAAAAGCAGTTATTTCCATTTTTTTTTCTTTTTGTGTTGTATACATGTTTCCCATCAAAACTGCAGACCCTGTTAGAAAATCTGCAGACTTAGTTGGTCAGAGCTGTGAACTTGCTTTTCACAGCTGTATTTTGGGGACCTGTGAGAGATAGCCCATGGGTGTCTTTTCCATGACTTCCCTCCACATGTGCCACATGTGCTATGGAATTAACCCTGTTGATACCCTCTAAAATGTACAATTTCCCTCCTTTACAGGATAAGTAACCATCTCTTCATGATGAAGAGAGGTTAAATGGCTTGTTCAGGACAGGAAGCCATGGGCAAAGGCAGGGCTTAAAAACATATATTGTGCTGCCCAGCCCTGGCCACAAGCACGGAGCCATGCTTGCTCTCCTGCGAGTGTGGCTTCGCTGACTCAGGCTCTGGTTTGGCTACATGGAGAGGAATGCGAAGACAGCACTGTGTTGGCTACTCCTCCGCCTCCACATGCTGAACAACTCACAGGAGTCCATCCCACTCGGCTGGGAGACTACAGCCCGAGCTGTGTTCCCACCACGCCACTGCAATGTGCCTTGCTGCTTTACAGCCAGCATACCATTTGGACCTGGATGGTGGTACTCTCTGGATACAAAAATCAACTAACTGAATTCCCTTGTAGTGATAAAGTACCAGTCTGAGAACTTTGTCCTCCTGGTGTTGATTCAGAGAAACAGCACAATGGAATAAAAAACAGAAGCTCTGTGTAATATTCGTATCATCTAAATACAAATGAGACAGAAGACGTTCCTCTGGTCACATTTCATGCATGACACTGAGCTGTAAATATCCTCATGATTTTAACATCCCAGAGCTATTTGCTTCCTTTTCATTGCAATCGCTGCTTACAGGAAACGGCCAGACTGGGTGTTTAGGGGCTTCTCACTGCCAGTTGCTTGCATCGCGCGTTTCTGGCACCTCGCCCACTGCCAGAGGCTCGGTGGGGGAAGGAGTATACCACCCCCCAGCTCCTGCTGCTGGAAGATCTCCCAGCGTATTCTCAGCTTTGGGAATTTGCTCTGCTAGATTTCTTGTGACTATTTACATGCTTAATATTAAGCAGATGCTTCAAAGCTCTGTTGACCGGGAGCTGCACAATGGTATGCGCCGCTCTACTCGGTTTTTGCTTTAACAAAATGCACCTATGGAAACAGGCACCGTTGTATTGGCATGACCGTTTTCATATCAGGGCAAATAAGCACAGAAATTGCATGCAAAATTTCCCTAATAAGAGTACATATATTAGATACAGCTAGGCACGGGAAACAGGTGAAACAGGATTACAGCTGAGTGATCAGCAAAACACACTACTGCCAGCAGCACATCAAATCAGTCTGGGAAGAGAGCTGCTTTCCATCAGTCATATTCATACTTACTTTGTAAGTGGGACATTGCTTTTAGTGAGAACAACTTACAGAACAATATACACAGTGGTCACTGCCTGCAGTAACCTTCCACTCATGCAAATGAGCAAGGGGTGCAGCACGCACTGATTAGATGCAGCACTTGAACTCACTCTCTCCCACGTTAGGTTTCTGAAGTAAGAAAAAAAGACTCCTGTGCCAAAAAGACTGATGGGCTTTCATCCAGACTGTCGGTAAACCTCTGGTATTGTGCCATTCCTTTCAGTTGCACTACTGAATATTTATTTACAAGGAAGCATGTGAGTACAAAATCTGGCACCCATCTCCAGACTCCAAGTGCAACACGGGGACAAGCAACCCCCCTTCTACGCACGGGGGTTGCCGGCCGCAGCTGGGGCACCAGACCTGCACAGCCCCGGGGGTCAGAAAGTGCCAAAACAGAGGGAAGGAAAAAAAAAACCCAAACAACCTCTTAGAGCCGAGGGGAAACACATCCTCAAAAACACCCCACCCGAACCCAAAATGTCCCGCTGGAAGGAAGAAGCAGCTCTCGGCTCGGTACCGGCTGCCTTCTGCTTATGGGCTCCCCAGCTACCAAGCGCACCAAACCCCTCACAGCGGCTGGGGGAGCGCGGCTCGCTACGACCCGGCTCGGCACGGCTCAGCCCGGCTCCGCTCGGCACTGCAAAGCCCGCCTCGGCACTGCAAAGCCCGCCTCGGCACTGCAAAGCCCGGCTCGGCACGGCTCGGCACTGCAAAGCCCGGCTCGTTTCGGCTCTCACCTGCGCGGGTCGTGCACCTCCACCGAGAACTTCTTCTCGCGG